TGAACATTCAACTGGTGTGACTATATAGTAGAATGTGACTATAACGGGAGTGACTATAGAGGGAGTTGACTGTATTTGATAAAATCTGCAATTTTGGAGATTATCGCAGATTTTTATATAAAAAGATGTTAAAAAAATGTGAAAACCTAAATTTGTAGTATTACACAGATTGTTACTAAAAATTGTAAAAAAAAAATGTGGCAATCTGCAAAATTTGCAGATTGCCGCAGTTCTGTACCCTAATAAATTTACCGATATTCTATGATCATTGTATGTTAAGATATTAAGTGAAACATAATATTTTTAGGGTTTGACAATTTTGACATGTTAAAACTATTTTGGCATTTCAGCATTTTGACAGGTTTTAGTTTTGACATTTTGACAATAGTCTGTAGAGTTTTGGCAGGCAACTTTAATTAGAAGTAAATAGAGTCTTATTTTAATGTTATTATAATAATAATATGGTTTATAGCAAGGTAGTTTTGTAGTTCTGCAGGATTTAAAGGGCTAAGAAAAGGCTTATTTCATATTCACTATATCTGTTTATTAAACTTTCTGTAACCTAGTTAAAAGCATTTGTACTTTATATATTTGTAATTTTCTTTGCTTTTATTTAATAAATGCATAGTAATTAACAAAAAAAAATAAATAAATCTTAGATAACTTTAAATATTAATATATATTTTATCTTTCAATAATTTAAAAATATTTTTTGATAATTGCATCCTACTGGATGGATATAGTTCATAATAATTTATTTGTATGATATATAAACTTAATATCAATAAAGCATATATAAATCATTAAAATAAAAAAATTTAAAAATATTAATAAAGTTATATATTTTTAGTTTCAAATTAAAAGGATAATTAATACTAAAATGAAAGTATACCTTTTTATATCAATTTAATGGTTAATTATATATTTATATTAAATTGAAGTTATTTAAATTATTGTAAAATAATCAATTCATCAATTTAGTAGTATGTAAAATTATAATACTAAAATTGTAAATATACATCCTATCTGCAAATTTTTTTAAATTTTTTGCATTTTATTTTACATTAAATTCTGTTATATAAAGGAACTACTGGCATTACTGTTAGTTATCACTTAATTCTAGCTGAAAACTACAGAATTATAAGAGTTACAACCTGGATAATTTTGGCCTTAATTATGCATTCAAAAACCTTTTAAAAATGAAAAAAAAGAGGAGGAGGAAGGGAAGATTATACTAAACAGAATATTGAGCGGAAAGAATTTTATTTATACCCATTTCTTTCGATCAAAAATTCAGAAAAGTGATGATCACTCATTACAAAAAATTTAATAATTAACTATTTAATTAATTTTAAAAAATTTAATATATGAAGAAAAAATCCCTTCTTTTATGATACTTGCATATTTAATTCTGACAAAATAAAATTTAATACATCAACAATTTCTTTAGGTGAAACCTGTTTACCTCCTTTACCTGCAATTTTCCCCTTAACATCACTATCACCGAAACTTTCTCTTTTTACACTATGCACATCGTCATCTTCGATAGACATTTCATAGTCTTCGTCATCATGATGATGTATCATGATAACATCGTCATCTTCAAGAATTTCTATACTATCATCTAAAAATTTTCCTTCATCTATATCTTCGCCTAGCAGATACTCTTTACCGATTTTCATTATTTCAAAATTACTTTCTACAATTTTCAATTGTTCAAATTTGGTTAAACGTAAAAATTGAGAAACCATTTCTCCGTCAATTATTAAGTTAGTAGGTCGATATAATGAATTAGAGGATGAATTAAATGCTACATGATTTGATAATCGAAATTTCGTATTGTCATTTCCTGTAAGAAGAAAGAACATTATTAAAAAAGACACTCTCTATGTGAACTTTTCGCCTCTTCTTCTTACCTAAACAAGGCTTAGTAGTTGGCCATTTTTCCAAAACATTTTGTAAAACACTTAATAATCTAAATGCTTTCAATTCAATTCTCATGAATAAAAAAACACTTCCTAATAAACTGCATCCCACAATAACAGCAGCCGAATTTTTTAGATCTTTATTAATATCCCAACCTAATTCTTTTTCATTATTAGCATTGTTATCATTATTCTCTTCTCTATGTTCTCTGTTTTCTTTATTTAAATTTGATTCTACGGTTATTGAAGAAGCACTTGTATCATCATCATCACAGTTGTTATTATTGTTAGAATTTTCGGTACGATAACCAAGATTCCCTATACGTAATTTCGAGACTATTTCACCTTCATAAAACGAAAATAACGGCCTTAAACATGGTACTATAGTTTGATCCTCTATAATACGTAAATTGTTTATTTGTATTAGAATGATAAAATTACGAATACTTAATACATATGTTATTACCTTTATCATATAATAAACCAAATACGTTTCCACATTTATCAGCTCCAATAACTAAATTTTCGTTTAACATAATAGAATCTCCAATTAATCGAGCATGTTTCTCCCTGTTTATGCAAATAAATTAACTTAAGAATTAAACATCAAGATTGATTTACAACTGATGAAACTTACATTTTTAAGAAATTGATTCTTTCCTTCTCAACTTCAAATTCAAAGAAAGATAATCCTTTTTGTGTACCAACACAAATTTTATTTCCAGAAGAATTTATTGATAATATTGGCCATCTCAATTCTCTACTTATCATTTTAGTTAATCTAGTAGAGAATACATGAAATATTATTACTTTGAATGATATAATATAAAAATGATGAGTTCACTCACTTGTTTTCTTCTAGATTGAATTTTAATACATTTAAAGTTCTACCTTCACCAACCAAAATATATTTATCAATTAAAGGGCAAATAGCATGAACAATTCCGTTAAGACTCTTTTCTTTGATCTTATTTAATTCGTATGCAATTCCGTATTCCTACAAATGATAGTGTAAATTTTAACAATTTTTTTATGGATATATTTTTTTATATTTTTTATTAATTACTCACATGATTTGATTTCTTTATGTTAAATATCATAAACCTTCCTTGATTAATATCATTGTCAGGAGGACAATGTATTCCTGTCCCAATACAAATAAATCGAAATTCCTGTCTTATTGTAGAATATTTCCAACCAGTGATAGAATAAACAGCTTCTCGATTATCAGAAAATTCGTTATGTACAGATAAATTATACTCGTGCTTAATTTCTCCGCTTGAAGGATCAATCAATTTGAGTATAGAAGTAGGAAATGGTAATTGACTACTTGTGCAAGCAACAATAAATAGTTTATTATGACCATCGTAGTATAACCTTCGTGGAGTCTATTAAACAAATAATTTTTTTTAGAAGTTGATCAAGAGTAAATTAAAATAAATTTCATTATGCTAATACTTACATCATAAACATCAATGGTTTTGATGTTATTTTTAATAAAATTATTTAATTGTACAAAATTCAAACAATTCTTACTAATAAACATATAGGATTGCTTAATAGTTTCGTCATAGTTAAATACGGCTGCTTCTTGCACATGTTCATAATGTTCAAAAGCAACACAAGCAAAATTTAATCCAGTATGTTGATTGTGCTCAATTTGCCAAGGTCTATCAGATAATGCTAATACGACAGTAATATTACTTTCAATGTTAGAATATGGTTGTGGCGTAATAAATTTCACTGGAAATGTCCCAATACGTCTTACTATTGGTCTACTAAGCATTGGCTTATCGTCTAAAAAAGTTAGATTAGTTTTAATAACAACAGAATGTTAATATTATATTACAATTACTATGTAATTAATTAATTAGTATTAATCACCTGATGACCAAGACCATTGAAAATACACAATAGTTCCCTCTCTTAAACCTGAAAAGAAATAATATTTAAATTATTTTAATTGATAAAAATAATAAAAAGAACGTTATTAGTAAAAATTACCAGCCAAGAAATAAGCTTTTTCATTGTTTCCAATAATACAAGCTGATTCTGGTATATTGACTTTAGTAATTGAATAATCTACTAGTACTTCCTCATGTAAAGTTTGTAATAAATTATTCATATTCAATGATATAAACTTTATACATGGTTTGAATGTTCCAATCATACACATGGGAATTGGAACCAATGAACTAATATTATGAAGATAAGTATTAATAAATATTACTTAACAGTCAATCTCTATAAATACACCCCCCTTGGAAACCATGTGTTTAAAGAGGATGCGCATTTATAGAGAGTTGAGTTTATTGATACTTACCTTGGAGAAATACATTTAATGAAACAAGGCTGACTATCCAATAAACTTTCCGCTATTTTAATTATTTCTATTTGTTTTTTTTCATAGTCAATATCAACTCTTAATACTGTTATAATACTTCCATTTATATTTAATAAACTTATAACTATAATATTTTCATATGCAGATGCAACCTCGATAATGCTATTCTCCGGTGGTATCCAACGAATTGTTTTAAAAACTCCTTCTTCTAATAATGAAATTTTATCGATCCTCGGCTCACTTACGATAACAGCATTCCTATGTACTTGTGTGAGCACTCCTTTCACACCTGTTGTATCGCAAATATTTGAAATACATAGTGAACAAACTTCTAAATCAAATCCACTATTCTCACTAATATCATCTAATTCACCTCCTCTAATGAACATCAACCTTGTGGAATTAGCAAATGATAATGCTAAAAATGAATCTATTAAATCTTCACTCGAATATTTTAATCCCCACAATGACGTAACTCCACCAAATTCTGCATCTGTTCTTGTCATGACATTAACTCCTATTGCTCTTCTTAACTCTCTTATACTTCCATATTTACCACGTCCGCTACATGCGAATATAACATCATGTCTTTCTTGATGGAAGTCCAACATTTGAAAGTCCAAAATTGGTGCCCAATTAGGTATCACACTTGTGATCTCGGCTTCTTTCATCTGTGATACTTTAACTACTGCCCCATCGCTCATGTCTCCTCCAACTATAATAAATTCTTCTCCGCTTTCTTCTTCAACACATAAAACACTCATACATTCTCCAATACAGTTTAATCCATTCTCTTTTTGTATTAAAGAAAATATTATATTTTTTTCATCAATAATTTCTATTCGATACAATGTTCCATCTTCAATCCCCGCGTATACATATTGTTTTGGGTGTGATTCAATTAAACTTGATCTTTTCAATATCGATGCGTCCATTGGATATGCGTATGATGTCATTAGTGCTTTCCCTTTCACCGGTAACGGTACTTTGTAAAATTCATTATGTCCCGCTATAACATTTTGTGTCTGTATAAAACACATTTCTGTTTCCTAGAAAAATTTAAAAAACATTAATTAAATGTCTAAAAAAATAAATTATTGGAATTATTCCAACTTACAGTAACATATAATAAACTTTCTGGATAATTAGGTAATGGTATAATATGCAACGGCAATGAACTATCTGTAATTAAATTAGAAAAGAAAATCAATACGAAAGATGCGTAATTAAAATAAATAAACAACATCTGATAATACCTTTATCTAATTGTAGTGAATAATAATTAATAACATCTCTTTCAGGTGAATCCGCCGCCCAAAATTGATATATTACTATCATAGGTTGTTTTTCTTTCTCGTTATATATGATCATGGCTAGAAGTATACGCATGTCATCCATAGGATATAAAAAAGTCATGTGCCATATCACTCCATCTTGTTGGTACTCTTTAGTCTAAAAATAAATTAGCGAATTTAATAAATCAGAATTTAATATTTTATCAAATTATCATTGACTTACATTAATTGGATCGAATGTTAATTTTGCTCCTCGATATACTGAAAATAATTGAAAGGTATTTTGCCATGCTGCCACCGCAATTAATCTTCCGCTAAATACATTTTTTATTTTAAATTAGGTAAATTAAATGATCTATACTTAATTTATCATTATACTCACGTAGGATCGATACACAGTTTACTTCTAGATTTTTGATAATCAAGTCCGGGCATAGATAAAACAATCTAAATTTATTAGATATAATATTTGATTTTAATTTACACAATAGAAATCACTTCAAAGTATTTCAAGTCTCACCTCCTTGATAACTTGAAATCTTCCTGATTTCCTAGAACTCTCAACATTCGATCCGATAATTTCCGGGATAACTTTTCCTTTTCCTTTATTCCTTCTAACATTTTCCCCTCCTGAATTATCTATATCATTATAATACTCAGTATATGCCAAAAAACTTAGCATTCCTGAATCACTTAAACACACTAAAACATCTTGGCCTGGTATGACTCTTTTTACATTTTGATTATCAAAATAATCCTCATTTTTCAATTGAACACAATCATCAATTGGATCATATATCATTGATTGTGGAAATCGGGAATGTAATACTTTAATATCTTTTATTGTACCAAATACTGGTTGTTCGAAAATTGATACTAAAGCACCTTCTGGTGTTATCTCTAATAATTCCAATACTGTTTCCTATAGTATAAAGGAGTTCTTTTGAATTTAACCAAAAATTTTGTCTACCTTCACTTCATTTTGCTTCTCAATTACTTACCTTAGCAAACACTACATCCTTTCTTTCTTTGCTCCTTAATGCACAAATCACCATTCCAGTAATAACACAACTATTTACTGCTGTCCTTGCATATACTCTAACTTTACAACTATTCTCCAATTCTTTTTCTTTATTTTCCGTAAAATCAAAATATGCTGCCATATTTTAAAAACTTAGTTTTTGATTAACAAGAAGTGACAATTAAATATCACCAGCACAATTACTGCGCATATGTTATCAAAATGACGTCTACAAGAGGTATATCATTTGTGAAAAAACCCATATAGGAAAAGATTTGATATAACGGATCATAAGTAACATCTTTGATATATATAATTTACCCTCGATATACCGGAATTCTTGATATAACGGATTTACGGATGGTCTAAAAATTGTTTTCAGCTTATTTTACATCTTTTTATATATAAAGACGGGAAACATCAGGTTTTTGCAAAATTAAAAATTTTTTTTTGCATACATCAAATTTAAACGGCGATAATTGCAAAATAGATATCTTAATGTGATAAATAATCATTATCTGTTATATTAGTAGGATTAAATTAGCTAGACTATATTAACGTATCATAATACATATGACTATGGTGTTCAAAATTCAATGCCTTTAAAAAATTATATAGCGGTGATAATATAAAGTATTAGCAATTTACGTTTAATAATTCCTTATTATTTGTCAATCCTAGAAGAAATGAAATTACCACCATGGAGGTCCAAATAAGTTATGTTTTATCCTTTTACAATCACTAGATAATGAGCAAAGCAGGATAACATTTTAAAATAAGTCTCCAGTGTACCTTTATTTGATATATAAGTCACATACGTTAAAGTGGATATTAAATTAAATAAATATTATATATTTCCCTGATTCGGAATAACAGATAGAAATTAAATAAATTATGTGTGGACATGATTAATCCAAATGATGTAATAATAACAACATATTAGTCGAAACCAATATAATAATATAAAACCATAACATCCCCATCAAATCACTGGAACTTGCAGAATTTATCCCAGGATGATCGGTCGGCCCTGAGGGATTTACTGTAGCTGTGGCGTCATAACTACTAGCATTTCCTGAGATCGCACTCATAGTTTGACATGTTGATCTAATTGTGTCTATTGCTGGCGGAACTTCTGTATTTAATAACGTATCCGGCTGTCCCGTTCTTCGAAAACATTCTAAACAAAGCGGCTGAAAATTTCGAACATTAAGATTAATTATTCAAACAAAGAAAAGTAATCCCTAAAATCAACTTACGTATACGGATAAAAATGTGTCTGTACAAGCACAACGTATTGCATCAATAAATTGTTGAGGGTTAAATATAACTAAAGAAAAATTCTGAAAAATTTCACTAGACTTTGTGCATGAATCGATAGAAGGGTATTCTTTTTCACAAGCTACACATGATGGAATGTTTGGATCAAAGTAAGGATGATTTTCTGAGCCTACATTCGATGGAATAAGTAGACACAGAATTATGGAAATTAAAATGAAAACGCTATTATTTCCATGAAGAGAAATTGAAAGTTTTGAGGTCATTATTTATATTTTAAAATCACTATCATTAAATTCGTAAATAACTGTTGCGAATTATAACACTAACAGCGAAACAGTGGAGGTTCAATTCAAATGTAACATCCATATTTATAAGAGAAATATCTTTTATTTTTTAAACCCCCTATTTAACACGAACGATGTGTACATGTCGATTATCATTAAATAACTTTTAAAAATAGTAGTGATGTCATTCCAAAAAAAGAATGTCATAATTTTTAGAAACAGTATCACGTGCTTGAAACTTTGCCGATCATTTCTGGATTGTACTATCAGAAGTTGCTTAAATCTTGAGTCTAAAGCCATAATCGTTTCCTCCTTGATTCTCAAAAATAGATCCCAAGAGTGTTTGATCCTCTTCGTCTAATTTTTCAACGCCATGTGCAACGTTAGGAGCTGATGGACTCGTATAAGATTTACGCCTAGCAAATTAAAATTATTTAAATTATTTATCATTATTTTTCAAAAAAAAAAATCTTATTAAGGATTTACCTTTCACCACCACCTTTTGATGGCCAAGTTGGAAACATTTCTGGATCTTTTGGTAAAGGACTTTCCCTAAGCAATTATAGCCATAACAACATATTAATCATCAATTATTTTCATATTACATTTAATCATCAACGTACGTGAAATAAGGATGTTTTAAAGCCTCTTCTGCGGTTATTCTTTTTGATGGATCATAAGTCAACAGCTTTGCTATTAGATCAAAACCATTCTCTGTCAAATACGGGAATCGACTACGTAACGTATTATGTCTAAAGAAAAAAATTTGAGCTTAAAGGAATTACAAGGAATTATGATTTACTATATTCGCTAAACTTACGATTGTTTTATAAAAGGAATATTTTTAGCATGGGGTAATTTTGAAAATCCAGGCCATATTTTTTCATTAGGCATTCCCAATAACTTGAAAATCTTTTTTTTTTAAAAAAAAAACAATTTTTAAAAAATGAGATTATAAATAAAACATCAACAATGTATTATCTAATTACTTTAGTCAATTGATCAATTTCTGTTCGCCCTGGCAATAAAGGTTCTTTATTTACCAATTCTCCAAATATACAACCAACGGACCACATATCTACGGCTGTAGAATATTTCTTCGTCCCCAATAGTAACTCGGGAGCTCTGTAAGAAAGAAAAAAAAATCAAAAAAAAAATCAAATGAGTAAAATAAAAATAAACAATACACTCACCGATACCAAAGAGTAACGACGAGTTCAGTCATTGGGCCTAATGGACTACCATATTTTCTAGCTAAACCAAAATCTGCGACTTTAATTTGGCCACGATTATTAAGCAAAAGGTTAGAAGTCTTTAAATCACGATGAATAATCCAATTATCGTGCAACATTGCAACAGCCGATAAAAGCTGAAGCATTATTGTTTTAACCTCCGATTGCAGAAAAGGTACTTGCATATCTTCCATGAGACTTTTAAGATCGTGTTCTATAAAATCCATAACTATAAAAATTCTTAAAAGAAAAAAGAAATTGTAAAAATAGTTTAGGTTGAATTCAAGGAGAATACCAAATTTAACATACTGTGTCAGTGTTTCACCAACTACGATTTCTCTCACATTTACAATATTCGGATGTTTAGCCAAAAGTAAAGTATGAACTTCTCGCAGGGATGTAATAGGAAAACCATTTTTTTCTTTGTCTAATTTGAGTTTTTTTAAAGCCACAACCTCCCCTGTGGCTTTATCTCTGGCACGAAAAACTACTCCATAAGCACCTTCTTCAATTCTATTTAATTTTTCATAATTATCAACGCTACGACATCCAGTAAGCATTGGGGGTAGTGGGGTTGGGGTGGATTTAATAATTCTCTCTTCAAATGATTGTGTTGTTGATTCAGGCGTGGGAGAAGGAGTGGAACTAATACTCATATCATTTATAGGTTCTGCTATAGGAGATATTGATCTAGTTGAAGGAGACTGATTAAACGGATCTTCATTCGATACTTTTAACCTTCTAATACTTTCAGTAGTTTCAGGCTGAGAATGTTCGTCTACTTCTGAATCTTGAATTTTTTTACGTCTTTTTTTACTAAATCTTTGTTCGCTTTCTGAATCATTATCACTTTCAGATTCCCACTTTGATTTTTTGGTTTTTGTTTTTGGAGTTTCCGTTAATTGAACTTCTGGTGTATTATTTTTTTCTAAATTATTATCGTCTATACATTCAACAGGAGAATAACCCTGATTTTCCATCTATTTCTTCGCAAGTAGTATTATTCAATTTCTCAAAAAGTAATATTTTACCTGCACTAGAGAACCCGAAAAATACTCCTGATCGGCGAGATTTTAACCTAAAATAAACGATTATGTCATATTCATACACGTGCAACTCAGATGTGGGCTTTATATAATATCTTTAAAACAGAATAACAGATAATTTGTGTTTTTTTAAAATTTATATCGAAATTATAAAAGAATTCGCATAGATAACGAAAAAATTGGTAGAAGTATCCATTTGTTTATTTTATTGAAAAGACTAATAAAGATTTTTGCTTTCATCTGACTTCTGATTTTAATGATTAGAATGATTTCGCTATTTATTTATTAACAGTTTAATATAACAATTCTTCGATCACGTGACAATTTTGCCGATTATTTTTGGCCGACCCCAAAAATTTATAAATTATTTTTTGTTTAAATTTGGGCAAAATTATATAATTAAATACATTGACATATTATAATATATAATATAAATATCATTTTAAAATACAAATGCTAATTGTACGTCAATTTAAATCTGTGAGTCATTTGAATCTGTAATTTGATTCAAATTGTACTCACCCGTATAAATAAAAAAGGATTTAACCCACTCTTTAAAAAAAATTTGCTTTGTATGATCATTATGATCATCATAAAGGCTTAATCCATGTAAAAGTCTTACTATCATCCCTCTTTCATGAAATACCAAATTAACGCGTAAAATAAAAAATTTCACACAAAAAAAATCAAACGATATATCATCTTCAAACTTGCACTTCTTAGTGCACTTCTCTCCGTCGGTTTTATCATTTTCCTTAACGTTTTCATCATTATCATTTCTCTCATTATTATTATTTCTCTCATTATTGTTATTTATCCCATTTTTATTGTTTCTCCCATTATTTTTCATACGAATAAGAAAGGTTAAAAACAGGTGAATAACAAAGAGATAGTTAATCAATGAATAATTCTGTAAAACACTTGGTTCTATTAAAAGCAAAAGTAAAAGCATAGAGCGGAATATATTATACATCCCACCAGTAATAAGAAGGACACTTATTGTATAAATATAATCATCTGTTCTATTTGTTCTTTTTGATAAAATGAAACTAAAAAAAACATTTAAAAGAATAAGAGCTATCAAAATAAGGGAACAAATAGTATTTAAAATAAAACACGCTATTCTCATGCGATTTAAATTTTCATTCCTTTCCCGAACAATCTTTATTATATTTTTCACATCATCCAAAGTTTCTTTTTTATCATGCGCCCAAATATCACCCTTTTCTATATCAACCACAGAAGGACCAATATTAATTTTGTCAATTATTTTTGACTTTTCATTAATTTCAAAAATGCCTTTAATACTCGAAAAAATGATACTCCCACTTAAAATACCAGATAGAGAATTTGCTACAATCTTAAAAGCTGTTGAATCCTTATTCACACTTTCATAAGTAATAAAAACAATTCCAATTATAATAACAGTGACCGAAAAAAATATTGCCAATCTCTGATCACGTTTCGCTTTCCTTACAAGATTCAGATTTTTTTCTGTAACTTCTTTTAAATCTTTCAGTCTCAATACCCGCTCCATTCTTTCTACATCGTTTGTTTTTTGCGGTGTTTCATGGTTTATTATTTGCGGTGTATCGCTCATTTTGTCTGATTGTAAATTAGTTGTTATTATTATTAGAGGAATTTTTTTTTCTTGTGAATTTAAATTTATCACAAAGGTTCTTCAGATTGGAATTTTTATATTAGTTATGCCAATTTCGTTGATAGTGAAATGATTTTATAATAATTTATTAATATAGTTAATGCAAAAAACTATTTTATGAAACAAAGATTTATAATCGATTAAGCAATTAGATCTTTATCTACAATATAAAATACTAAATATGAGCTTTTTTGGTTTGTTTCAATAATTTATTCGATATGTAATGCAGAAACATTGGAAATTTCAGAAATTTCGTACATTAATTGAATTATTTTACGATTTTATGACCAATTTCGTAAATTATAAAGAATCTGATTATTGAATCTCTATATGGGTTATAGAATATAAAAATGAAGCCTTTTATAGTGCTTCGATCCGGATGAAGACCGTCATCCGGGTTACACAAAAAATAGATCCGGATTCTTATCCGGGTCAAATAATCCGGATATCGTATATTGATTAAATTTAGTCAAAATTAAGACTAGTTTAAATTTTTATATTACAGGTTTTTTTAGCCACATTTAATAATGTACAGATTTTTTTTTAATATGCCAAGAAGAAAAAAAATTTTAAAACTGCAAAAAAGATTTAATGAATAAGGTTGTTTAAATATAGGTTAATTTAATGTTATAGATGATAATTATATACCATTAAGTGAATATTTAAAAGACAATTCAGATGAATTTATAAATGAAAGAATTCAAAAACTTAGTAATTTTACTTTAATTTGGTCAAAAAATACATATAATAAAATACAAATCTCATCATCGTATATGATATATCTGATTCATCAGTTTATAATGAAATATAATAAATAAATATATTACTATATAAATTTTATATTATATAACTTATAAAATCCTAATTTCTGATTGGTTAATATATGTATCACGTGACGCTTACATAATCTGAAAAATTGAGACTTTTTTTTATTTTATAAATCAATTCCTTTTAATAAATAGAGTTTAATTTTTTTTATAAAATTAAAATCCAATCATAAAATCAAATTTTATTTAAATTTTTTTAAGTTCCTATTATAGAGGTTCTGCACCGTAGGATTTACAACTGATAAGCAATAATTCTGGCCAGAATTCATACCGCCGGCCGGAATTACAAATTTGGCTAAGACCGCGAAATTTAATTTTATTTAGCATCTTCTATTCTTTGAACAAGATCTGCAGATATACCGCTTATAAATACTGTAATAATGATATTAAATTGCTTTGCGCTAATTGTTTTACGAAAGGTGAAGCTACTCTTGCATTGAGAATTAGAGGAAATTTTCTCATGAACTTTGATTTTGCCCTAGAAAAGTTAGTATCAGTTGGTTGCTCCAAATTTCATTCTGCGGCACACTCTCAGTATATGTTATGAAGATCTTGTTGTGCATGGCAAGGTAGCGCGTAACGTATTTTCACACCAATTTTATTGGAAAAAAGACAATTTCATTGTTGCAAAAAAAATAATGAAGTTGCAACCATGCTGAAAAGTTCCTCGCGCGGCGAGGACTTCCCTTAATAATATATTAAGGAGACGTCTTACTTCATGTCTGATCCAGGCAATTGGCGGTGAAGTTATGAGTCAGTAGATATTCAAGTTATTTCTTGATGGTCAGCCACTCATTAGACCGTTCAATATCATAAATACACAGTTAAAATTTCGAAGTCCAACATTATTTATTATTAAAAACGAAAAGCCAACTAAGTGATAGTATATAATGAAATGAGCGAAATTATGATGCTATCAAAGAGAGGTCCTAGCATCAAATTGTTTTTTTGCTCTATTGTAAAATTTTATACTACACTAGATTTCCGAAATAAATTATCCCACACAAAATTTCGCCTGTCTATTGTATATCACCACAAAAGAACTTTCTCAAGTTTAAGAAATTTCGAACCTAAGTATAAATTCGTGAGATTAGCAATAAAATCCCGGTGAAAACCAGAATTTTTAAAAAATTTCTGGTAAAAATTAGAAATATTTTAATAAAAAAAAAAAATATATAAAATAAAAAATATTAATCAATATATTACAAAGTTTAATTAATTAAATAAATAAATTTTCTACAAGTTTGTGCTGTTTATACAAAAAAACGCCAATACTTATAAAAACAAACTTTCAAGTTTCAAATGGAATTAAGATTAATAAAAAGTTAAAGTCAGTTCAAACGGTTCAAGTCAGTTCAAATTGGTTCATACTGAGTTGCTTAGAGTCAGTTTAACTGATCCTGATCAACATTGCCTTTAGATCGAGAATTTTTATCATAATATTTAATTCTAAAACAAATATTATAAATAAAATTACAAACTTATTAATGATGTATTTTCATAATTCATTTCTTTCTCATTTCGACAAAATGGGCTAAACGCTTAACCATACAATTGAGGGTCAATTACAAATAGGTTATTGTCTACAAGAGCTGAAACGCGTACTCAAGTTCGGGTTACACGATTTTATCAGCCAATAATATAAATCCCGATTAAAAATCCGAACGCGCAACTTTAGGAATGGCTCGTCGGCTTTTATAGATCTAATATCCCTTTTTTAAAAAAATTTGTTAAGCTAATGTCTCATTTCAAGAGTAAAATTGATTTTATGATTGAAGAATACCTTGTAGACGCGGGAAAATATTATGCACAAAAGAATGAACGACGTGCATCTACTTCAGAACTTGAAGATTACAAAAAGACCTTCTCCAATAAAGTTAATAAGTATGTTAAAGAATTCGAAGATGAAGTTAGTGAAAAACTTAAAAATAAGGATTGGGATAAAGAATTTAACAAACTCAAAAACAAAGAAGATATATCAAAAGACAAGTGGATTCGTCAAGCAAGATCACTATATATTGAAAAACTTTACTCTCATATATGGAAATCATTAAAGAAAAGTTTTTTATCAAAATATAACAAAGAACCTCAAGAAAAAGATTTAATTGAATTCCCAAAAATTGCTGCTGTTTATTTCTATAGAAAAGTTCTGGGGTCGCTACGTAAGGGATCGGTTATTAAAGAATCAAAACGTGAAAATTCAAAAAATGCTGCACCCAATGGTGTCATTACACGTTATGGGTTCCACGGCGAAAAACGTGAAAGTGTTGATTTACTTATTAACCACCATCATGATCGCGTCAATAAATTGGTAAAGGGTAAAAATGGAGCGTCATCATTTAATCATGATCCTCAGAAGATACGTCCAAAAAGTCTCAATCCTTTCCTTCAGATTATAAAACAAGGCAATGATTCACAAAAAACAATAGCTAAAAGGCTTTCGGAAGGTGGAAATGAACGAGAAAATATAAAAGCAAGGAAAATTAATAAAGATTTATGATTTTACACTTTGTATTATTGGTATTAATGGAAACAATAAATTTTTTTATGATGCTAGCTAGCTAGTAATGTATTAGAAGTTGTTCAAAAATTTAAATAAATTTTTTTATAATGTATAGTATACAGTATATACATAATTCATTATATAAAAGAGTCACTACATATTTTACCAAGTCAATTCTCTAGAATCAGTACCACAACCATCACCACCACCTTCTTTTGAAGCTTCACTGCCACAACCTCCGCCTAAACTACCTTCGGGTGCAACAGCGGCTCTAAACAATCTTGCACCATATTTTTGATACATTTCTGTTACACCTCCAGCAGCGATTAACTTTTCTTCCATTAAAGACAACTCAAATTTAAATTCTTTACCACAACAAATTACTTTACGATCTTTTACTTCAACTTCGACTTCAACCCCTTCTTGTGCAAGTGTATAAAATTCATCGTTATTTATCGTAATACCTAAAAGTGCCATATTTGGCTACATAAAATAAAGAATTGAGTATATAATTGGCAAAAAGATATTTTTAAAACCCAAAATAGAAATGAGTTTTCATAAATTACCTGATTTCTACTATAAATATAGGCATAACTTTTAGCAATAACAACTTTAACTCCTGCACCTTTTAAAGCTCTAGGAGCTTCTTCTCTACTACTGCCACTACCAAATCCAGAACCTCCAACGACAACACTGTAACCTTCTTTAACTTTTTGTACGAAATCAGGTTTAACATATTGAAATGCATGACTACCTAAATCTTCATCACTTGTACCAGGCATAAATTGTGCTGGTATAATAGCATCAGTATCAACATTATCTTCAAATCTTTGAACTTTCCCTTTTATACTTGCCGAAAATGATGTTGGTTGTGATGGTAAATCCGATGATGAATCTGTTATGTTTGATGGATCGGAAAGAATAGGATTTGGTTCAGAAATTTTAATAGATATTTCGGGATCAAGCCATTGTCCTAAACATTCTTGATATTTCTCTTTATCGATGGCATCAATTAAGTCTCGTGGATCACGAACTTCCATTTCAAATGAAGAAGCTGCTACAGTAGCAGCTGAAGCCAAATTACCAATAGCTCCTTTACCCTTATTAAGGAAAAAAATTTTGTTTAGTAAACTTTAACGCTAGAAAATCAAAAGTTTGAATTTTAAATTTATATACCATACGATTTCTAAAATTACGATTTTGACTGCTTAACCAAACTTCTCCTTCACCAGCATGATCTGCAGCAACAGCAATACAGTAAGAACAGCCCGGGGCACCGATTTCGAATCCGGCTTGTTCGTAAAATTTTAACAACCCCAACCTCCTCAATTTAGCAATAATGGGTAAACTACCAGGAGTACATTTTCTTATACCATTAATAGAAGGTCTTAAACCTTTCTTTAGACCTTGCTCAAGTACTAAACCAGCTAAAATTAAATCTTCTTCAGCAGTTGTACAAGCACCAATAAAAACACCATCTAATTTCATTCCTTTCTTTTTTTTAACAGGCACAACATCATCAGGTGATGGATATAAAGCAATAAGTGAATCAACTTTTGATAAATCAATAATATGAGTCTCAGCATATTGTGCATCAGGATCTGCGCGGAAATATAAAGCCGAATTTTTATGAGCTGGATTTTTACGTTTTGCTATAAATGCAGCAGTAATTTCATCTCCCTCACATACACCAGCTATACCGCCAAATTCTGTTGCCATATTAGAAATAGCAAATCTTGCATCACACGAAAGATATTTTAATCCAGGTCCTGTATATTCAACAGCTCTCTCGAAGGCCACCGTATTACGTTTAAGTTCTCCAAGAACATAAAGAATAGTATCTTTACCGCCAATACCAAAAGGCGGTTTATTAATAAATTTAATTTCAACTGTTTCAGGAACTTTAAACCAAGTTTCTCCCGTGACTAAAGGCATAACTACATCCGCAGCCCCTAATCCAACAGCGAAAGCACTAACCGCACCCGCAGAACAACTATGAGAATCAGCTCCAATAATCATTTGACCTGGTTGGGCTCTTTCACGATAAAATTCCGTATGCAAAATAGTATGGTTAGGTTTATAAAAGTCTACAAGTTTGGCTTCTTTAGCAAAATTTTCACTTGCTTTGATTAGCCCAGCAGGTTTTGGAAGATGATTAATGCGAGGATCCACCGTGTGATCAATAGCAAGCCAAAACCTATCATTTCGAAAAATATTTGGTCTTCCCATAATATTAAAGGTTTTTTCCATTCCCTTCCAAGTAAGTTCCGAAGCTAAAGTCCAATCAACTGAAACGCAAACCATATCTCCGGGTTTCACATGACCAGGCGATGGAAGACCAATTGCCGCATGAGTAATTGTTTTCTCACAAATGGTCATGCCACGTCTACCAGGTGGTCTCTGTGAAAGAAAACCACGAGGCGAAATGCGATCTTCAGCATTAAGACCCTCCAAGAAACCTTCAAGAACTTCACATACTTTATCACCAACTTCAGAAGTGGTTTTATTACCGGATAAGTCTTTTGTACGATAACCAAAGCCACCAAATTCTTCATCATCTAAAACTTTACGCACAGCATCTTCAATTGCTTTAGCTTCCTTAGGAAGGTTTAAAGAATACTTTAACATCATTGCAATGCTAAGAATTGTCGCAATAGGATTGACGATTCCTTTTCCTGCTATATCAGGTGCAGATCCATGAATTGGTTCATAAAGTCCAAGACATTTACTTTTGCCGTCAGGAAGTCCATTTAAACTTGCTGAAGGTAATAAACCAAGACTACCAGGAATAACACTCGCTTCATCACTTAGAATATCACCAAACAAATTTTCTGTAAGTACAATCCCGTTTAAAGTAGTTGGATTTTTCACTAAAAACATTGCTGCAGCATCAATATAGTGATGTTTAAATGGAACTTTCGGAAATTCTTTTTCCAGCGTTTCAGTTACTACACGACGCCAAAGTCTCGATGTAGCTAAAACATTGGCTTTATCTAAAGAATGTATTGTTGCGGGAGGACTTTTCTCTAATGCAAGATGAGCTGCTAAGCGCGTTACTCTTTTTACCTCTTCAACTGAATAAGGAAGAGTATCCATAGCTACAATAAAAACGGTGTGATGTTGATAAAATATTCCCAAAAAAGTAAAATAGTAGAATAGCACATATAATATGAACAAACCTTGGCCACTTTCATCCTGTTCTTTTCTTTCCCCGAAGTAAATACCACCAACCAATTCGCGAACAATAATAAATTCAGTCCCTTTAACAACACTTTCTTTTAAAGGAGAATGAGCAATTAAAGCGTCACTTGCAAATGAACAAGGCCTTAAATTTGCAAATAAATCTAAAGATTTACGAATATCGAGTAAACCTTGTTCAGGCCTTGGTCCTACGCCTTTTGATGCATCATTTGGATCAATTGGTTTTGGCCATTGTGGTCCACCAACAGCTCCTAAAAGAATTGCATCGGCCTCTTTTGCCGCTTTTAAAGTAACATCTGGAAGCGGGTTACCTAATAAGTCATTTGAACAATTAATATTTTAATACATAGTGATCTCGATATAATAATGGATTCATCAGAATTTGTCATATTAAATCCGGCATATAAAGAACAATTTATTTGCCGTTTACCGAGTTGCAAAAAGTACAAAATAGACCTTTTAATGAATACCTGTAGCATCAATGGCACAACCACCAATTTTTTCTTCTTTTATTTCAATTTCTATACCATTTCTAATATTCGAAATAGTTTTTAAAATTTTTACACCCTCCTTAGTAACTTCTGGTCCACAATTATCACCAGGCAGAACCAAAACTTTAAATTTACTTGGTGATGCCATACTTTTTTTTTTAAAAAAAAAAAAAAAAAATCAATCGAAAAAAGTAAGATATTGTATTTATATCAAATATGCATTATTTAGTTATTCTTTATTAGTATATGCATTTGTCAAATAAGTCATTGATAATAAGCATCTAATTGATCAACACTACCACGCTAATTTGATCAAAACAATTTGTTAAGATTATCGCTGATCCGCTGATCTCTTATTTTTTAGACTAATTTTACCGGTAACACTAGCTCTATGTCATAGCTTACTTCCATCTCCTTATTTTTTTTTTGTCAACCCCTTTGGCCCCTTGAATATTTTCACGTGATTTCACAGTTTCTTAAAACTTTAAAAGAATCATCTTATATTTAATTTAAAAATATAAATAATTGTGGCAAGTACAAATTAACCCATCAGACCACATATAATTATGTCTAACTCCAATGGAACTCCTCAATATGCTAATAAAGTTTCTCGAGAACCAATAACGCGTGATGCTTCAAAATCTGCGGTGGCAGAAATAAGGAGGCTGTCTAGTATGTCTGGAAAGAAAGACTTATCAGACTTACAAATTCCAACTATAACAGAAAATGCTGAAGACGTTACTGGTAAGTTACAATGTTATCAGCAGGAAGTAGGGCGAGTTAGTATTAAAAAATAAACGCGAGTAATAAGCTGAAGTGGAATTATGAATTTACTTATACTTTGAATCAGTAATAGCTTATTTAAAAAAAAACATAGATTTACTTATATACTTGCATTCGATATTAACAAATTAATGTAGGTTTAAAAGGAAGAATTCGGTTACAAAAAATGGATGAAAGAAAGAATTCACGTAATTGGATGGATCAACAGCGTAAAAACTTACAGGCATATGAATATTTATGCCACATTGGAGAAGCGAAAGAGTAATCATTACTCGTGTATTAAATAGATGTTACCATAATTTTTAAAAGAGGCTAATACATTTGTCATGATATTACTTTATTAGATGGATCGAAGCTTGTATAGCTGAAGAAATTGATCCAATTGTAACGTTGGAAGAAAGTTTAAGAAATGGGATAGCGTTAGCTAAATTATCTAAATCCTTTGAGCCTTCAGTTGTTAAGAAAATATTTATGGTAAAATTTCAAGTATTTTTTTTTCCTTTCCTTTTTTTTAAAAAAAAATTTTTCTTTTAATTGGTTTTTTATTTATTTTTAACAGTCACCTAAATTACAATTTCGACATTCAGATAATATTAATTTCTTTTTTGCAGCAATTCAAAAAGTTGGATTGCCTAAAGTACGTGTTCATGTAAATCATATTTTAAGCATAATATAATTATAAATTTATTAACATTTATATAGATATTTTGGTTTGAATTAACGGATTTGTATGAAAAGAAAAACATTCCAAAAGTAATTTATTGTATACACGCTTTAAGGTATTATAAATATATTGATTATTTTAAATTCAAATTACTCATATTAATATAATTAATACTTTTTTAAGTCATTTGTTATCTCGACGTGGATTAACTCCGCGTATTCGTAATTTGGTGGGAAAATTAGAATTTACTGGTAATTATTCATAAAACTAATATAAATTTTTACTGAAATATTTGTTAATTAATTTGTAACCCTTACTTTGACATAGATGAGCAATTACATACAACACAAAGAGGACTGGATGCATCAGGAATTGTAATGCCAAGCTTTGCTAATGTTGGTATTGCATTAGCAGCGGAGCTTAATGAACCAATTCTCGAGACTGGTGAGCCGCAAGAACCTCAAGAACCTCAAGAGACTGAAGAAGAAAGTATGTACTTATCATTATTATTATGTTCATATTTAGTATCGCAATTTTAATAGTAGCCATTCGTAACAAATTTTTATATGCAGGACAGGCAAGATATTGGGAAGAAAACAAGAATGCACTTGTAAAATGTCAATCATATGCAAGAACACATTTAGCACGTAAAGAGTTATTAAACCGTAGGGCGTTACATGAATATTCTTTACCAATTATAATTGCCCTACAATCTCAATGTAGAGGTTGGCTGGTGCGTAGAGAATGGAATCAACGATTGAAAGAACTTGAAAAATTAGAAAGATGGATAATAAAGGTAAAATACATTTAATCAAAGTTTTATGTTGAGAAATTAATAACTGACTTTTTTTTAGTTACAAAGTTTATGTAGGGGAGTTTTAGCTAGAAAGAGATTCAAAGATAAGAGAGACTATTTTCAAAAAAATATAGATAAAATTGTTAAAATTCAAAGTTTATATCGAGCTAAACATGCCGGAGACGCTTATCGTAGTTTAAGTAAGTCTTTATTTCATACGTGCTGTAATTATCGGCGAAAGGAACTTAATTCACTTTAAAAATTTTATAGCTATGGGAAGTAATCCTCCGGTTGGAACCATAAAGAACTTTATTCATTTATTGAATGATAGCGATTTCGATTTTGAAGAAGAAATTGGTAATTAAAGTATATTATTTAAATTTTTTCTCTCACGAATCTTGAGACAATTGTTTTTCTTTTTTTTTTAGAACTTGAAAGGTTAAGACAAGCGGTAATTCAAAGGATACGAGAAAATAACCAATCAGAAGATTTATTGAATCAACTTGACATAAAGATAGCATTACTTGTTAAGAATCGTATCACATTAGATGAAGTAATAGCGGTAGCAAATTCGAAGAAACGTAACCGAAGAATTTCACAATTAAATTCAATATCGGGGCCATTTTCACTTAAATCTTTAGATAAAGAATCAAGAAGACGACTTGAACTATATCAACAGCTGTTTTATCTTTTGCAAACACAACCAATTTATTTAGCAAAATTATTTTTTATATTAAATAAATTAGGATTTCCAGAGAAAACTAAGAAATTAGTTGAAGGAGTTGTGCTCACATTATTTGGTTACGCACAAAATGCTCGAGAAGAGTATTTATTACTTAAATTATTTCAAAAATCGATGATGGAAGAATTAGAAAATATCGATTCATTACAAGAATTTTTACGTGGAAATTTTATGTTTATGAAATTGGTAGTACATTACAATCGTGGAGCGAAAGAGAGAAAATTTTTGAGAGATTTACTTGGACCTTTAGTTAAACAAGTTATGGGAGATGAATATATGGATTTAGAATCTGATCCTTTGATCATTTATAAAACCTTAATTAATGCGGAAGAATTAAGAACGGGACAACCTTCTAAACGTCCTATTGAAATTACCCAACAAGAAGCTTTAAATGATCCTGAAACTAGAACCGTATTTATTCATCATTTACAACGATTAAGAAAAGAAACCGATACTTTCTTAACTTCTATTGCTAATAATATTGAGAAAATGCCTTATGGTATAAGATATATCGCAAGAGAATTGAAAAAAGCTTTAATGAGTAAATTTTGTAACGAACCTGAAGATAATGTTATCAAGGTTGTTGGTCATCTAATTTATTATCGTTATTTAAATCCTGCTATTGTGTAAGTACTTTTGTTCTGAATTCCATTTTCTATAATACACAAAGTAATTTGAATACCTTTATTTATATAATCTAGTGCACCTGAAGGGTTTGATGTGATTGAAACGGTTGTTAGTCCAATGCAACGTAAAAATCTAGCGGAGATATCCAAAATGTTAAATCAGATTTCTGTGGGTAAATTATTTACTGAAGATAATATGTATTTACAACCACTCAATGAATATGTACAATATGCTGCGAATAAATTCTCAATTTTCTTTAAATCCGGTATGTAACAATATAACATTCATTCATAATTTTGGAAAGATCGAACTAACGCTTCTCTATTCGTTTAGTAACTGAAATTGAAGATGCGGAAATACATTTTGGTATTGATGAATTTGATGATCTCACGCGTACAAATAAACCTATAATTTACATTTCACCACATGAAGTATTTTCAATGCACGACCTTCTCTTACAACGTCTTGATTCAATATCTCTAGATTCAAATGATTTAATTCGACAAATCCTTCATGATTTAGGTGATGCGCCACCTACAGATGAACATGATAATTCAGATGCAAATACTATAGCACTTACATTAACAAGTAGACTATCGTTGGACAAGATGAAAGAACCAGATTCAGAAATTAAGCATGTTTTTGTTAAAACAAAACGTTATGTGTTAAGTATAATGAAAGTACAAAATGGAAAAAACTTATTAGATATATTAGTTAAATCAGTTACACTGCAAGATGAACAAATTTACAAAGAAATTTGTAAAGCAGATCAAGAAAAACGAATCAAACATAATCAAAATTTTAATAATAGAGTAAATGTTGCTGGAGGATTTAATTCAGTTTCAAGATCTAATTCAAATTCAACCACGTTTAGTAATTATAGTAATACAAGTGGTGGAAATGAAAGTAATGGAGATAATTATTTAAATGACATATCTAAAATGACATTTTTGGATCTGAAGAAAGTAACTTTACAAAATATTTTAAAATTGGAGTCTGAAAAAAAAGTAACAAGACAAAATAACTATCAGGATATTCTTAATAGTATTGCGGTTGATATTAGGAATAAACATAGAAGAAGAGTTCAAAGGCAAAAAGAATTGAAACAGTTAAGACAAACACTTTTGAATTTGGATGAGAAGAGAGCTCATTTAGATGAGCAAATTAAAACATATAATGATCATATCGATGTTTGTATGCAACAATTATCAACAAAGAAAGGGTGAGTATAAAACTTTATATGTAAAAAACGTTTTTTTTTTAAGAAATTAATATTAAACTTCTAAAATTTAGCAAAAAATCGCGACTTGTCCTTCCATTTACACGACAATATTTCCACATAAGAGAACTTCAAAAATCAGGTCGTGTACCACAATTTGGTTCGTTTAAATATACAGCACAACGATTACACGAAAAAGGGGTCCTAATATCAATAACAGGTTATTCAACATTTGATAAAATTAGTTTCACAATATCATCTGATGAAATAGGTATTTTTAAAATAGAAGCAAGTTATGCTGGTATTAGTGTACCTGGCGCTAATATGGAATTAAGATTAGAAGATTTATTGCAGTGTCAATTCAACAATATTCAAGTAATGACTTTATTTGATGGAATTGCTAAAGTTAATGTTAATTTATTAATTTTTCTAATTAACAAGAAATTCTTTGTATAAAATATTAATAATTATAACTAATAACTGAAGTATGTATGTATGTATTAAAAAAAAATATAAATATTAATTTTTAACTTAATTAAAATCAAAGTTTTTGATTTATAATAAATTATTATTTAATGAATAAAATTGCTACAGGTATACTTTCCATCCATTTAAATGGGATGGGGCTTTCAAATCCCAATAAAAAATGGGAAAATGAGTTACATAATATTTTTATATTGATCATTTAATTTCGGCCAAAATTAAAAAATCACATAACACCAGTGATAATCACTAAATAGCAAACTCCTACTAAATATTATAAAGTTGATTTATTTTTTGAATAATTTTGCCTATGTACTAACAATTTTGTCCACTTATTTATCCCAACTCATAATATATTTTTTTAAACAATTTTGTTCACTTATTTATCCTAATTTGTGTAATATATTTTTTTAGACAATTTTGTCCGCTTATTTATCTCAATTTACACACAGGTCGAAAAGTGAAAAATCAGGCATCAATTAATCACCAATCAGTCACCAATCAGGTAGCTGATAGGTGACCGATTGGTAACTAATTGGCATTTTCGCCAAATACCATCACCAATCAAGCAGTTTGCTAACTTTTGATCTAGTGATTAGAAAAAGATAAAATATAGCTCATTGGAATCATCTCAACAAGACAAATTTAATGGTAGTAAATCGCATTTCTAGAATTAATACTTAATGAGAAATTAAGTAAAATATAAAAATAAAAATATATTATTTATATTTTATTTAATTTTTTATTGGCTATTAATTCTAGAAATGCGATTTTACTACCATTAGATTTGCCTTGTTGAAACAATTCTAACGAGTTATATTTCATTCTTTTCTGATTACTAGGTTAAAAGTTAGCAAACTGCCTGATTGGTGACTGTATTTGAAGAAAATGCCAATCAGTCTATACTTGCCACCTATTCAAAATCCCATCCCATACATCCCATTCCATTACATTCCATTCCATCCCAAATCCCAAATCCTATACCCATTCCAATCTCATATTAGTCCTAAATCCCAATTCCAACCCATCCTAAATTCCAAATCCCAATCCCAAATCCCATTTAATTTTATAAAAAATATTAATGATTTTTATAAATTTTTTACTATAAAACTTTTTTATATATAACTGTTAATATTTTTAGTAATCTTTTGTCACTTCTTTACAATTTTTTTTTGCATATCTATTAAATTGTTAATTAAAAATATTACTATTTATATTTTATATGAAATTTAAAGGGTTTTTTTGTTAAATGCCAAGCCATTTCTGTTAAATATAAGCCATTTTATTATAAACTGTAAATATCAATACAATTAAAATACTAATTTAAGGCTGATTTGACTAATAGCTTTTTTGTTAAGTACATAACTAATAGTGGCTTTTTGTTATTAGTTAAATATTTAAATTATGGCTTTTTTATTAAATATTTTAATTGGTAGTTTTTTTTAAGTGCTAAGTCTATTAAAAAATAAATATAAGTTTAATATTAGTATTTAAACCTTTTGCATTATTTTTTTGCATATTTAATTAATAATAAATAAATATTATTTATTAAATTATTTATTTGTTAAATGTTATAACTTTAAATTTCAATTGTTATTTATTTTATTATTTATATATATATACAATATAAAGTCTTTTGTTAAGCTCTTTTTTTTGTTAAATGTTAATAAGTTTATTTGTCAAATACAAGACATTTTTATCAAATACTAGGCCATTTTTGTTAACTGAAAATCAACTAAAATCAGAATTTAATTGTATTGATATTTAAAGATGATTTTAGGCTGATTTGACTAATGGCTTTTTGTTAAAAATACTGGTTAAGCCTTTTTCATCAGTAATTTTCATTATATACCAAGCTATTTTTTGTTAGCCAATAAATTAATTTTGATTTTAGCTGATTTTAGGCTGATTTAACTAATGGCTTTTATTTAATATTTAATTAATAAATTTTTTGTTAAATATTTTATTATGAAATTATTGTTAAAATATTTAATTAATGGCTTTTTTTAATGTAAAATTAATGGTTTTTTAAACTAGTAGTGGTTTTTTGTTATTAGATAAATACTTAAATTATGGCTTTTTTTATTGATTAGTGGCTTTTATAAGTACTAAGTCTAGTATAATTTTAATGTTAGTTTTTAAACCTTTTGTATTATATTTTTTTATTAATAAAATTAATTATAAATACAGCTAATAAACTGAATTACTATCTCATTTTTTTTTAAAGAAAAAATAAATTTTCTTTTTTAATAAATTGTCCTTAATTTTTTTTTTAACAAATTATTCTATTATTTTTTTAAAAAAATTCTTTTATTTTAATAATGGTATCACTAGTTGAAATAGTCCATTTTGGCAAAATTTTAAATTGCCGAATGTTAGACGAAATTTAGTCTGACCTTAGCCGATCAGTACCAGAAAAATCGGCAACTAATTTTATAAACAATTTGCACTGTAACGCCTGCCACTTGTCAACAAATCAATCAGTAAAATTGGCAACAAATCGGTAAAATCAAATTGATGATTGTTAATAAACCTAATAATTATTACCGATTTTTGTACATTTAGCTGATTTTAATTTTTATAATAACAATTTATTGATTAAATTTTATTAATTTGTTTTATTAAAAATTGCATATTAAATTATTATCTATCTATCATTTATATACACCATTTACTATCCACCATCTATCATCCACCCATAATCCTCACCTAACCTGATAAAAGTCTAAAGAAAACTACCAAAAAAAGGAGGAAACAGCCAATAACTCATTTTTTAAATAAAAAAATTGGGTTTGAAAGAAATTTACCCGATCTGATAAAATCCGAAGGGGAAACCTACAAAAAAAGTAAAGAAATGGTTGGTCAACCATTTCTTTTAATAAAAAAAAATGAAGTTTCAAAAATTTTTTGAAACTTTACCTGGAATATCGGTATTCACATCAGAACTGATTTTCTATAAAAAAAAATATAAAAAAATTGTTTTTTAGCTAAAAACGTTTTTTTAAGTAAGTTTCGAAAATCTATCGAAACATTACCTGGGGATATGGTAGAACTGATTTCCTACAAAAGAGAATAAAAAAAAACGTTAATATAACATTTTTTTTAATAGTTTCAAATTTTTTTTCAAAACTAACCAATGGGATTCGGTATTCAAGTCAGAACCGTTTCCCTACAATAAAATAATAAAAAAAATATTAATAAACGTTTTTTTTTAAATAGTTTTGAATTCTTTTTCGAAACTAACCAATGGGATTCAGTATCAAGCCGAAACTGATATTCCTACAAAAAAATAAAAAAAAACGTTAAAATTAACATTTTTTTATTAAAGTTTCGAAATTATTCGAAACTTGCTTTTGGGATTCGGTATCCACGCCGGAACCAAATTCCTATATAAAAATAATAAAAAAAAATATTTTTAATATAAAAACGTTTTATTAAAGAAAGTTTCAAATTTTTTTTCGAAACTTATCTTTGGGATTCAGTATTCACGCCAGAACTGATATCCCTATAATTAAATATAAAAAAAACGTTAAAAAAATGTTTTTTTTTAAAGAAGTTTCAAAACTTTAGTTTCGAAACTTACTTGAAATATCAGCATTCACATTGGAGCCGATTTCTTATATTAAAGTATAAAAAAAAATGTTAGAAACGTTTTTTTTAAAGAAGTTTCGAAACTTTAGTTTTGAAACTTACCTGGAATATCGGCATCCATGTTGAAGCTGATTTCCTATATTAAATTATAAAAAAAAATGTTTTTTTTTATTAAAAAACGTTTTTAAAAAAGTTTTAAAACATTTGTTTCAAAACTTATCTGGAATATCAGTATCCACATTGGAACCGATTTCCTATTATAAAAAATAAAAAAAAACGTTTTTTTTTATTAAAAAACGTTTTTAAAAAAATTTTGAAATATTTATTTTGAAACTTACCTAGAATATCGGCATCCACGTTAGAGCTGAATTCTTATATAAAAAAACAAAAAAAAATGTTATAAACATTTTTTTTATAAAGTTTCAAATTTTTTTTTCAAAACTTAACTTTGGGATTCGGTATTCACGCTGAAACTGATATCCCTATATAAAAAATAATAAAAAAAAACATTTTTAGTATAAAAACGTTTTTTATATATTAAAGTTTTGAAATTCTTTTTTCAAAACTTAACTTTGGGATTCAGTATCTACACTGGAACTGATATTTCTATAAAAAAATAAAAAAAAATGTTAAAAATTAATATTTTTATATTAAAGTTTTGAAAATTTTTGAAACTTAACTTTGGGATTCGGTATCCATGCCAGAACCAATATCCTTATATAAAAAATAATAAAAAAAACATTTTAGTATAAAAACGTTTTTATTAAAGAAAGTTTTGAAATTCTTTTTTTGAAACTTATCTTTGGAATTCGGTATCCATGCCAGAACTGATATCCCTATAATTAAATATAAAAAAAACATTTCATTAAAAACGTTTTATTAAAAAAGTTTCAAAACTTTAGTTTCAAAACTTACCTGGAATATCAGCGTCCACGTTGGAACTGATTTCCTATACAAAAATGAAAAAAAAAACATTTTTAATATTAAAAAACGTTTTTTTTATAAAGTTTCAAATTTTTATTTTAAAACTTATCTGGAATATCGGTATTCATGCTGGAACCGATTTTCTGCAAAAAAAAAACAAAAAAAAACGTTTTTTACGTTAAAAACATTTTTTTAAAAGAAAGTTTCAAAAGAGTTTCAAAACTTACCTAGAATATCAGTATCCACACCGGAACTGATTTTCTTTGCAAAAAAAAATAAAAAAAAATGTTTTTTTTTTAAGAAAGTTTCAAAATTTTTCAAAACTTTACTTAGGGAAACGGTATCCACGTCAGAACTAATTCCCTAAACAAAAAAATATTTAAAAAAATGTTTTTTAGTTATAAAACGTTTTTTTTTTAAGAAAGTTTTGAAAATTCTTTGAAACTTCGCCTAAGGAAACGGTATTCACACCGGAACCGATTTTCTACAAAAATAAATAAAAAAACATTTTTTACTGTTAAATAACGTTTTTTATAAGAAAATTTTGAAAATCTTTCGAAACTTACCTGGAAAATGGTATCCACGCCAGAACCAATTCCCTAAACAAAAAAATACAATAAAAAAGACGTTTTTTAGTATAAAAACGTATTTTTTAAAGAAAGTTTTGAAAATCCTTTGAAACTTTACCTGGGAAACGGTATTCATACCGGAACCAATTTCCTGCAAAAAAATATTAAAAAAACGTTTTTTATACATTTTTTTATAAGAAAGTTTCGAAAATCTTTCGAAACTTCACTTAGGAAAACGGTATCCACGCCGGAACTGATTTTCTTCACAAAGTATAAAAAAGAAATGTTTTTTAACGTTAAAAAACATTTTTTTTAAAGAAAATTTTGAAACTTTTTTGATTTAATAAAAAGTTACTGAATTCAATGTGAAGAACTAAGGTGTAAAAAAGGAAAGGGAAAAGGACAAAGAGAAGAAAGGAAGGAAGCGAAAAGTTTAAAAAGTTTAAAAAAGTTTGTTTAAAAAGACCTGTAAAATGTCGATCTGGATCATCTGATGATTTCAGTTATTTACCAACTGATTTGCCGAATTATTGCCAATTAGTTATTGATTTTTACCGTTTGGCAAATTTGGCAAAATTGTGTTGATTTATATGACCAATCGATATAATTTTACTGAATGATCTTAAAGGGACAATTTTTCGTATAACAATCGGTATAAGTTGATTTTTCACCAAAAGACTGAACAAGTATTCATTTAACAATCAATATCAGTCGATTTGTGATTGATTTTACCGATTTTTGCCATTGGTCAAAAAATGTGATGAATCACATGACCAATCAGCAAAAATTATGCCGAAAGTTCTTAACAGTTGAAAGTTTTGATTTTGACCAGTGTTATAGATATTTCAAATGATGTTTATAAGGAAGCAGTATGTAAATTTTGTTCAGCATCTTAGAAATGTAGTAAGCCAAATGAAATAAAATCATACTTAACTTTAAAATATTCTAAAGTTATATATAATATTAAAATGGAATATTTAAATGCAATATCATCAAATGAAGATAGCAGTTCTACACAACTTAATACTAATTATAAAAAAAATGATAATACTATATCTGATTTTACAAAAGCTTATAAAGCTTTAACACATTTTTTTGTATGTTGTAGAATTTCCTTTTCTGTTGTAGATTCTCCTTTTTTTCATGATTTTGTGAAGAACTTATACTTTGAATATGAATTACCAAAGCAAACAATTCTTTTAACTACTTATTTGAATGCAGAAACAGCTAATATAAAAAGAAGAATTGCATCAAGCAAAGAATTTAACTTTGGGTAAGAAATTATCATTAATTTTATTATTATACTAAATATTTTATTAAAAAATTAAAATAATTTTATAATTTTTATTATTAGGAGTTGATTTATGGACCAGTCCACTTGGACAAAGTATTTATGCATTCATAATTATAACTCCTACTCAATCCCAATATATATATTCAATTGATGATTTTTTATCTCAGCGTCATATAGCTGAGTTAGTGTTTGGAATCATGTAACAGTTATTCGAATAACTCGAGTATATTCGAGTATTCGAATAAGCATAGTGGTTATTTGAGTATTCATTTAGCCAGATATAGTATAGTTAAAATTCTAATTGGGCATTAAATCCTTAAATTTTACTGAGTTAAAATCATAATTCAGGCTAAAAATTATGTAAATCATTACTATAAAAGGAAATTTAACTTATTCGAATATTATTCGAATACACTTTATAAATTTAAATGAATACTCGAGTATATTCGAATATATTCGATTCCAAACACTAAGCTGAGTTTAATAAAGAACAAATGCTAAAAATTATTGAAAAAATAGGTAAAGATAAATTTATAGCAGTTGTTTCAGATGTTGAAGCAGCTATGCAATCAGTAAAAAGAAAAGTAATGAGCAAATATCCACATATAATGGCAGTTAGATGTATAGCATATCATATTAATTTAGTAACTAAAGACCTAATCTCAATTGAATAGGCAAAAACAATACTTCAAAAATGTCAAAAAATTGTCACATTTTTTCATGATGAATATAGAGCTGAAGATGCATTATATAAGAAAATAAAAAGTTCATTTTCCAAAGGAAGTTTAAAATTTTTAGTTAAAATATATTGGAGTATAGCATAGGATGTTTGTGAATTAATTTTATATTTAGAAAATAATATTAAATTGGTTAGTATTTTTAAGAAATTCATTTTGTATTTGATTTATATGATATTAATATATTTTTATTATTTAATAAAGATTCTTAGTCATAATGGCATAATAGGCAATGATATAGCTGACAAATTAGCAAAGAAAGGCCAATGTGGAAACAATTTATTTAGGAATAATGTAGATTTTATTAATAATATATTATCTTACTTTCCTGTTTTTATAGATAATCCTATTTAAGTTAATATTAGAAGATTTATTTTGAAAATATTAGCTACAGGTGAAGCTACTGAATGGTCATTATTAAAAAATAATCAGGAATTATGTTATGGGAATAATAATCAGATAGACTGGAAAGTTACTTGGCTTATCTTCCATTATTGCAAGAGATTTCACTGTATTAGCATGCGACTTAACTATTTATGAACCTTTATTTATAGCAAAATTATTTCACAAAATCCTTCCTTTAGGATCTATTTTAGCAATAAGAAAACCAAGACTCTACAAGGAAATGAAATGTATTATGAAATGTAATAAGAAGGAAAATTGGAATCATTTATTTGAATGTCAGGCATATGAGGTGCTTGGAAAAAAATATTGGAGATTACAACAAAAGAATCTATAATTATATGTTTGAAATAAAAACAAATCAGAAGTCAAGGTGAAGATTTTATTAGAAGAGTATTACAAAACATATTAGAAGTTACAGCAAAATCAGAAAAATTCCAAAAGTTTCAACAGCTGGCATTGGAAGTGAAAGTCGAAAATTTTTTAACAACAAAATTACAAAAAGACTTTAAGATATCTCTTACTGAGGCACAGACACTTATGGCTAATATTTTAATTAGATTTATTTTAGCATTTAAAGAATTAATATGGAAATCAAAATGTGAACAAGTTATTTTATAGGAAAAAAGAAGAGGCATTTCTAGAGCAGATAAAATTACTTCAGAACCCAAGAGAAAGGACAATTCAAATCAACCTTCAGAATCCAAAGTAAAGAACAATACAAATAAACTTTCAAATAAAGTTAAAGATCTACAAACAGGAAAAATAGATTGATTACAGAGGTCAGTCTCTTTAGTAAAGAAATCAATGGATACCTTTGTAAGGAAATACATATGTGAGGATTGGATTCCAATAAAAAAGAAAGTTGATAAGGTTACATTATACATGAGCAAGAAATTACTGGATTAATAGTTTCAAAATAATATTTTTATTCTGTTCTCAATTATATTTATAATTTTAGACATATATTTTATTATTAATTTATTTTATTAATATTTTTATTTTTATTTTTATTTTTGGTTTTATTTTTGTAGTGGTGTTTGTTTTGTTTTTATTTTAATTTTTTATATTTATAGTTTATAGTATGTTATTTTGGTTTGCTTTTTGATTATTTTTATTTTTAATTCTATTGATAATATAATATCTAATGTTTGATCGGACTGGCCTGGAGCTGGAAGTATCATTCATAGAATATTTGTGATTGTTATGTAATCCAAATATATTCTAATAAAATGGTATATGATTCAACATTTAAAAAAAATAAAAATAAAAATAAAGATTCTTAGTGAACAACCTGATATTTTTGTTAATGCTGTTAAAGTTAAAGCTATTATTCAAGATCGACAGTTTTGGTATGATGTTGAACAATTGAAAATAGTTTTAAATCCTGCAAAGAATGCCATAATTCCATAAAGACTCTTGAATCCAATGCAACTACATTAGCTGATTGCTTTATAGAATTACTTAAAATGGCACAAGTAATATTAGCAATTTTTTTTCCAAATCTTAATTTTAAACAAAAATGCATTGCTATTTTTAATAAAAAATGGAAAGAATTTAATATTAATATTTATATATTAACATTTTTTCTTCATCCAAAATATAGAAGTAAGAACATTTATTATTAATGTTACTAGTATTTAATAATTTTTAATTTTATAACAATAAATCATTATAGATATAATAAAATCTTTTAGAAATTTTTTTTCTAATAATAATTTTCTGATTTATTTTTTTAATAATACCAATAAATCGCTATAAATTTTTCAAAATTTTTTGTTAAATTCTTTTTTTTCTAATAATAGGTATAATATATAAGATGCTATAGATCATTATAGATATAACAAAATTTTCAAAATTTTTTTTCAAAATCTTTTCTAATAATAACAATAGATCATATAATACATAAGGCAAATATTGTATAAATAAAATTTTCTGATTTTCAGAATTTTTTTTTCTAATTGTAACAATAGATCAATACAGTCAACTCTCTTTATAGTCACACATTTGGGACAGTCCATATTTGGTGATTATAAAGAGATGTGACTATATAAAAAATTTCTTATATTTGTATATCATAATTCCTGCCAAAAATTAACATAATTTTAGCCAGAATTATACTTAAAACTTTATTGTATCGTAACTTCGCTAATATTAATCGTAGAGAGATGATCTTACCGCCATTCGATTCGTCTTGATGAGATGGTTCTAATGGTATAAAATACGTCGAAATCCAATCACTAGATTAATTTCNTCGGTAAGTTCCTCCGGTCTGCCCATTGCCTAATGAACACTCAAATTTAAATTCCGAACAATCAAAACCCTTTTCCGTTGGATCCTGATTTTCCCGGTCACTAGACGTACTTCTCAAGTTATGATGAGGATTACTCAAACTTCTGGAAAGCTGGCAGATGTGTATAAGAGACAGCTCTAATGGTATAAGATACATCGAAACCCAATCACTAAATCAATTTCCGAAATTAAAAAATATTAAATAGTTTTTAAGTAATAACTCCGTCAATATTGATCACAGAGAGATGAGCTTACCACCATTCAATTCGTCCCGATGAGGCGATTCCAACGAGCTATAAATCGTCTTTTCACAATCACTAGGTACTGAGAAATCTAGCAAAATGTTAAATGGCGCAGTAAACGTAAATCAAGAAATATTATAATGCCGATGTTTAACATTTTGTTGAATAACTCGTCANTTGGATCCTGATTTTCCCGGTCACTAGACGTACTTCTCAAGTTATGATGAGGATTACTCAAACTTCTGGAAAGCTGGCCACTTCCAGAATTTTGTTGACCTTGCTGTAAAGCAAAAGTTTGTCTCCTATTACTATTATGAGAGGGGGATATGGGATCTTGCTGTGCTATCCAAGCCAAATATGCGTATGATTTAAGTACAGGCGGCTTGGTTGAATCACGTGCAAGAGGATGAGAAATGCGAAGCTCCGTATTGTTATTTTTTGGTCGATACAGGAACCAGTGATTATCATAGCTTGAAAGAATTCCATATTGAAGCTGTAATGATGACATATAATTGTAAATTTGCCCAATTATATCATATACATAGCCCGCTGAAAGCTTTCTCTTTCCAAATTCCTCTAAATCAGAATCAGTGAAATACAAAAAACGTTGTAAAAGGATGTCTCTCTTGATTTCGAGTGCCAATATTGGAATCCCATAAGTCTCATTGTTAATAAGACGACAAGTGTAGTCTGGAACGAAGAGACCAATAGCTGTCTCTTATACACATCTAGATGTTATAAGAGACAGGGAAAGATCTTCACTCAAATTTTCTTATTCTTGCGAACCAACACGTGACTTTTATTAATTATTTTTACGGTGACCTTTTTGAAAATTAAATATGGGTTCGAACCAAGAAAACCGGTGACCTTTATTAGTAGTTTTCCCGGTCTTTTTTGAACATTCAACTGGTGTGACTATATAGTAGAATGTGACTATAACGGGAGTGACTGTAGAGGGAGTTGACTGTATACATAAGGCAGATATACAAAATTTTCTGATTTTTTTTTTTTTAATAATGCAAATAGATCGCTATAGATATAACAAAATCTCTCAGAATTTTTTTTTGGCTTTTTTTTTCTAATAATAATAAAGAATTTTTCTAACTATCACCGGGGTGATGATCACCAGTGACTGAAATAACGATGATCGACTAGCATTAAAAAATATAGTGCTGGTAAAAATTGATAATTCTGGCCAACGGTGATGTTTACCCTGGTGATTTGAAGTAAAAATCAATAATAAAATAATGTACTGTACTTTATGAAGATGAAGTCCTTAATAATGAACGTATATTTCTAGTTAAAATGTCATTTTTCCAAATAAAAAAATCACGTGCACGTGATGATTTGTCACACCGATCACTTTCAAAAGTAAATACAAAGGTTCGGGACATGAGCAAGATGCTTATCCTGGACCAGCAAATCTAATTGGATGAGATTGTTTTGTGTAACATTTGTCTTTAAAAAAACAATTCGCGTTTTTTTAAAAAAAAAGTTACGAAATGCCTTTTTTTAAAAGCATTTAATACTACCGTTTTAAAGTAATATTTTAAAATTTGTATTTTGGTATGCATTTTATTAAACTTTATTAATTAATAAGTAAAATTGCATATATAACTTTATAAAAAAGATCTTTACATTATTTTCTACTGTAATTTTATTATTAAATTATTTTAACGTTAATATCAAAACAAAAGTACAAAGTAATATTATATTAGCTTTAAAAGTAATGTTATAAATGTGTAATTTACAACCTTTTTTGAACAACTTTGATTAATCCCAAAACTTAAAAAAAAACACTTGATTTCCAGAATAATATCAATATATCATAAAACTCTTCAAAAAGAAAATAAAAAACATTTAGTATTATCATAAAACTACAATAAATACAATTAAAATTAAAATATACAAACTGAAATGATTAAGTACTAACATACCACAAAAAAGAATAGTGAAAGAGTGAAAGATAGGAAGAGTGAGAGATAAAATAAATTATGCCGGAGTTATGTAATAAAAGTGCTGATTAGCCAATCAAAAGTTGACTGGTCCAGAATAAAGCATCTGGACCGGTGGATCAGGTTAAGGATGGCCTCGGGACATAGCCCAAGATCCTGCTTTTTTTCTCATGATTATGGTCTAGAATTTATCCACATGATAAGATGACTTGTTATGAACTTAACTGCGCATTAAATGACATTTAAAATTACGTTTGTTTGCTTTTGCATAATATAGCAAATAGTTATTACTTTATTATTTATTAAAAACTTTGCATATATAATGATATTAAAATTACATATTACCGATTATACATTTACAGATTATTTTACATATATAATACTATAATACTAATGATATTAGAATTACACATTACCGATTATAAATTTACAGATTATTTTGCATATTCATATAACAATTCAATAAACTTGATAATTCAGACTCCTCTTTTCGAAACAACTTCTTTTTATCAGTTATAATTGACTTACCAAAGTCAATAAAAAATATATTACCTTCGTCATTAACTAAGATATTTTCTTCTCGGATATCGTTGTGAAGGATGTTATGACTATGAATTATCCTTAATGCATTAAGAGCCTGATTCTTTTGCCATTTCGCTATCTTATGGAAATTCAACATAGTACCAACAATTGTCATACCCATAACGTAGCCCATTCCACCCCCATAATAACCGTAACATACCAATTCTGGGATATACTTTCCTTGAATTTTAGAAAGACGTTTGTATATTCCGATTTCTTTTTTCATTTGATCGAAAAATCGGCCATTCTTATAAAGATCTAAAGTCTTCAAAGCTATTGTTTGTCCATAGAACTTACATCGGTAAGTTCCTCCGGTCTGCCCATTGCCTAATGAACACTCAAATTTAAATTCCGAACAATCAAAACCCTTTTCCGTTGGATCCTGATTTTCCCGGTCACTAGACGTACTTCTCAAGTTATGATGAGGATTACTCAAACTTCTGGAAAGCTGGCCACTTCCAGAATTTTGTTGACCTTGCTGTAAAGCAAAAGTTTGTCTCCTATTACTATTATGAGAGGGGGATATGGGATCTTGCTGTGCTATCCAAGCCAAATATGCGTATGATTTAAGTACAGGCGGCTTGGTTGAATCACGTGCAAGAGGATGAGAAATGCGAAGCTCCGTATTGTTATTTTTTGGTCGATACAGGAACCAGTGATTATCATAGCTTGAAAGAATTCCATATTGAAGCTGTAATGATGACATATAATTGTAAATTTGCCCAATTATATCATATACATAGCCCGCTGAAAGCTTTCTCTTTCCAAATTCCTCTAAATCAGAATCAGTGAAATACAAAAAACGTTGTAAAAGGATGTCTCTCTTGATTTCGAGTGCCAATATTGGAATCCCATAAGTCTCATTGTTAATAAGACGACAAGTGTAGTCTGGAACGAAGAGACCAATAGTAGGATCATTTCTTGGGAAATCGGAGTCCTTCTGTTTCGAAAAACAATATTTTCCCAAGGCTTCATTCAATATACAAAACATGTTGGCTTCAAGAGCAGTATATACGTTAGTTTCAACAACTATTCTTACATTTTCAAGAAATTTTGGTCTATTAAATCTTTGGATCTTATCGTCGAATTTGTGATGAATTACGTTGTTTAAAAATTCTTCCCAACGTGTTATTTTTGTAGGCCAAACGCCACCTACATTCGTTGAGGAAAGCGATAAACAAGTATCTGAAGGATAATAGGCAGATGGCGGAATACACGACAACACTTCTTCCAAACTGAGAACTGGAAACGAATACGTGTTAATATTACGAGGGCAAATGACGAAAAATTACAGACTGCACCACTCCAGACACTTACGTGGCAATTTTATGATGATATGGATATGTTTTTTAGGAGGTGAAGTGGGCCAGTAGTCTTTTATATCATCTAATGCTGACAGCTTGTCACTGTCATTGAGTTCGAGATTCTCCAACTGATCATCCTGATCGCCACCAATTTCCACCTTCCACAGCTTGAGCTTATCTGCGTCTACACCAGCAAAGTCATTTGGCTTTTTCGCTTTTATAGCGTCCTTGAGGTGGACAACAGGCTGGTCCTTCTCAACGTCCACAAGGAAAGCGTTCTCGAATGTGTCTCCTTTGACGAGGCAGAATAACCTAATAGACATAACGGCTTTTATAGTAATTTTTGCGAAATGTTATTGGTTCAAAGTGCGGTGGGCGAGGACAAGAGTAAAAAAAGAAAAAAAAAGAGGCTCAAAGTGCGGTGGGTGAGTACAAGAGCAAAAAAAGAAAAAAGAGAGAGAAAAATTGGCTCAAAGTGCGGTGGGTGAGGACAAGAGCAAAAAAAGAAAAAAAAGAGAGAAAAATTGGCTCAAAGCGGTGGGTGAGGACAAGAGTAAAAAAAGAAAAAAAGAGAAAGAAATATCCGGATAAACTGTCCAACTTATATCCACGATCACGTGCCTTTACGTAATATTTCTACAACTTTCTACAACTTCTTATTGCTGACCGCTGTACGCGTAATACTCGTAATACTTCTACAACTTTCTACAACTTACTTGCTGACCGCTGTACGCGTAATACTTCTACCACTTTCTACAACTTACTGCTGACCGCTGTACGCGTAATACTTCTACAACTTTCTACAACTTTCTATAACGTGCTTTTGATATGACTACTGACCGCTGTACTAGTAAAACAGAACTCAGCTGAAATCAAAGTATTCACTTGCACCTCCAATGCATTAGTCTGATCTCCTCTTCGAAATCGATAATAGAGTCATCCTGATCATTGGGTAATTCAATGCTGGGATTCTTAGAGAAATAGTCAATAATAGTCTGAATTTGATTTATTTATTTATTTATTTTATGTGAAGTTGGCAAGATTAACGATACAAAGAAAGAACATCAGCAAATCGTAGAACCTGTCATCTAACTATAAAGCCAGACCTTTACTTCTAATTAAAAGAATCCCAGGACCTATCCTATACCATTCTTGCGACCAATAAGGGATAGTAAAAAGTGATAATAAAAGACGAACAAAATGAAACAAAAAAAGAATTCTAATCAAATTATCCGTATTACTGTCATATACAGAATGCTACGTTTCGGGAGGTCCGTAATTGTTTTTAAGGGTATTCTATTTTTAAGTAAATTAATGATCGTACCCTGGGGTAGGTGGGCACATGGTCTTCCTGACCGAAGTAGAGCATTCAGCCTGGTTGGTAATATCAATGGGCGTACCGCTGGTTTCATGAAGTGGTGTAAGACGATTAAAAAAGACGGTAGGGTTGTTAATGATTTCATGGTGTTTGGTGAAATAACATAAAAACGCATGTCTGAAATGTGTGCCAGGTTGATGGCGCAGTGTGGCGCAGTGTGGCGCAGCGATTTTTCCAAAAAAATTAAATTGCAATTTTTTTTATTTAAAATAAAGCCTTTAAATTCTTGCACTAGGTGTATTTTCGTCCGCTCTGCAAATTTACTTAGAGCATATACAGGTGGTTTAAAAGGCCATTTTCGAGTTATTTAACAAAAACTGTTCTTTCGACAAATCCAATTTTGGAAATGATCGGCAAAGACGATAAAATCAGTTGTTATATACTAAAGTCAAAATCTACTTCCAAAACCTCCTTTCATTTATAAGTGAATTTTGTAAAACAGATGAAAATACATCTAATGTGTAAATTTGAAAGCTTTACATTAAAAAGAAATTCTTTAACTTAAATCTTTTTGAAATTACTGTGTCATATTGCGCTGTCAGGATCCCGGACAATTATAATTAAGGTTATATCTTCTATGCTAAAAATTTACCCTTGTCATCCTTAACTTACTTTTAAAGCTATAGATATAAAACTTTGTAATAATAATTGCCCTCCTATTATCTATAATTTTGTTACTTAAAAAGTAATATTTAATAATAGTAATTTTTATTTTTTTGTATATTTCTATGTATACCGATAGTGAAAAAGCGTATATTTTTTTGCCAAATTTTGCCTGTGTAATGATACTTATCTCAAATTCTAATCAGTAGATTTACAAGATTTTTGGTATCAAAAGATTCTTTTCTTCAAAAGAAACATTTTTTTCTATGGTAAAAAATAATATTAACTTAATAAAATTACATGTTAAAATAAAAATAAAGTTTAAAACATAGTAAGATATGACCTCAATTATAATTATCTGGGGTCCTGCGCCGTCAACCTGGCACACATTTCAGACGTGCCATAAAAACGAGAAATGTCATTATCTGACAGAAGATTTTCTATAACTAAAGGACGTGAATTTCTTTGGACGTATTTGTTGTACTATAATTCTTTAGCCTTTCTATAGCCGTAGTTCTATATGGAGATGTCAAAATGGCACCTAACTTTATAATCAAAAAGGTTAATATTATAAGTATTATAATAATATAGGCAAAGATCGCCCAAAGTACCAGGAGGTAGAGGTAGTAGTTGTTTTTTGCGTTTATTTCATTTCTTGGTTCTTCATAACCAGTTTTTGGTGCGATGCATAAAGCATTTTTCATTATTAAGTTGATTTCTCCATTCTTGTGCCTTGGTATGGTAAGATGAGTTTCTGTTGACAAAATGACTCAATTGTTTAAAGACAGCTGGTTGTGGACTAGATTTGGATTGAGGATTGAGTATATAGAGTTTGGTAAATCTGTCCTATAATTCATATTTGAGTGTACTTTTCATTAAATGGTTCCATTCGTTAATCTGTTGATGAGAATGGATAATATCAAATCAAAGATTCTTTCACTTTGAACACCTTTCTTATTATACATAATGGTTAGTTTCATACTTTTTTGAGATAAGGATTGTTTTTCCTTTCAGAATTCATTATATTTCTTTATAGTGACCTCATAAGATACGCCTAAGTGTGTTGAATAAATTGCTTTAGCATAATTATAGCCATGTTCATTCTGGTAAAAGTTATATATATATATTCATTAGGTATTTTTTTCTTCAGTTGGTCATCAAAACAGTATTACTGTCATAAGACAAAGGTGTACATTGCAGTGCCAATAATTCTGTGACAAGACAAAGGTTGCAGAATTCTAACAAATATAAGTTTTTTCTCCATATGCATATATAATCAACTTTCTCTAAGGTTGCTTGCTGAAACCTAGGGGTTTAGGCAAGATGGTGTTTCGCCAAAAAGCGAAATTCTGCTAAAACTATATTAAAGTTATATCAAAAAACTGGTGAAACTTTGGAGAAAGGTGAAACTGCTGAAACTTATTATAAATGCTGAAACTGCTAAAACTCTGCCAAAACTATAATAAATCTATAGTAAAATTTTGATGAAACTAATCGTAAGATTTTGAAGAGGTTTAGACAAGCAACTTTAACTTTCTCTATAGTCACTTCTGTTATAATCACATTTTACTATATAGTCATACCAGTTGAATGTTTTATTATTAAAATCTATCCTATATAGTCACAATCTATCTAACCTTATTCCACATTCATTACAAAAGATTAGTTACTATCACACCTATTCTCAAAAATCTTTTACACATATCTTACACATATCAGGTACCCGATTTTTTGCATTAATATTACACATATAAGGTACATATCTGATACATATCTGCTACCCAATATATTAGTTTTTGACCAGTTCGCTTGCCTATGCAGCAAATTCTTTAATCTTATCAAAATCATTTGTTTTCTAAAATTCAAGAAGCCAGAAAATTGGCTGATATTGATCCAACTCCATTTATTACTAAACTTATTTCTCTTTCATGTTGGTCCTTTTCTTCTACAAATTGGTCCTCTTATACCCTTGTCTATAGCTATCTACACAAGCTTTTTGTCGACTTACTTGTTGAATTATCCATTCTAAGAAATTTTGCGATGAAGGTTATCGCTGCTATTCACAACAATTTTGTTCAAAAATTCAAAAGACGAATTTGAAATCTGCATTCTTATGATAAAAGTAGATGGGAAAACGTAATAAATATTACCTACAAGTTGAAAACTACTCTTTGACTGTTAAATTTACCATCAATATACTTACCTTTCTCATCTTTACCACCTCTGACCCTACACGATTTATGTGACTTCAGAACTGATTGGTTGAAAAACTTAATGAAATATGATTTGCCTTAGTTTAATCACTTTTTGGGTTTTATAGGTCATCTAACAGTACTACTTAATAACAGCTTTTGCAAGATAGAATGTCAATTTTTATAGTGGTGTGCTATTTGTTATTTTGTTAGCATAGTTGCTTCTACT